GAGATTTTGAGTAGACACTACTCAGGGGTATGAACAAAGAACCCTGGAGGAATTATGTCAATAGGACTACAGTTAGCACTTAGGGAGCCTTGTGAAATTTTAGAAAGGCACCTCTTTTTCTGGACCACAGCAGCTTCATGACAGAATGTCCAGCCTGGCAAGCTGAGCACAGATTTCCACCCACCCTAGGTTTTTTCCCTAAGGCCGATTGCTCTTGCCTGATGAACAGTCTACATCCCTGAATGTCAAGATTGCGACAGAAAGGGTTGAAAGAAGGACAAGGTGGAGGGATCCATTTTAGGCAGAAGAAAGAATATGGACAAAAACCAGAGGCAAGGGAAGGAGCTCCCCACACTCGGGCACGTGCCCTTGGTTCAATGTGACTAGAAGGTAGAGTGAAATAGAAGCAAATGAAACTGACAAAATTCCTTGCCTTTGAGGACATCCCTGGAGCTTGATAGGCCTCCAGTATCAAGTCAATCTATCAGAGGGCACATTGATTTCTGTCCCACCTTCCAATATTGAATGAGCTCCTAGATGAGATGTGCACAAAAGCCCTTTGAGAACAGGGTTCATTCTGATATCACTTTTAATCCTAATCCAGGTGAACAACTATAGTGCCCATGATTTGGGGGCCTGTTTCTGTAACCAGGCACCTCCCTGACCCTTCTTTGTTGGAGATAGATATTTCAATAATAATACTTTAGGAACTGTTGGGGTCAGCTGAGAAGGCTGGGTGGCCTGTGACTTCCTGGGGCCTGATCAAGAATTCTCTACCTCATGCTCAGGCTGTGGTACCTGCTGCAGTCAAAAGCTTTTTCTTTTCTGAGTGAAACAGGAATGGATACAAGAAAACGACTCTAAAAGTCATGAACGAAAAGGAAACTCTGCCTATGGGGTAAACACTCCTGAGCTCAGGAAGGCCTTCTCAGGTGGTGCCTAGGTTAGAAGCTGACAGAGGCTGGGCCCTAGGCTTGGGGGAACTTGCTCCTTGTCACTGTGTGACTTCAGGCAAGCCACTTCCCTTTTGTGGCAGTGAGTTCCTTCCTCTGTTAGCCAGGAGGTTGGGCCTATTCACACTTGAACAGCAGAACCCTTTGAACTTCTCTATGAAACAAGTCCACACACAGGGGATGCTATTTGAAGGCAACGGAGGGGTCCTGGGGTTCTGTTTATTCTGCTTCTATCTTGTCTTCTCAGAACTTCTGACACTACTGTATATTACTCTAGAGGGACGGAGGAATTTAATTTGAACTGATCAGATTCACTTTTTTTTTTCTTTCTTTTTTCTTATAGGCCAGCTCTTCTAGCTCCCAGCTCAGGGCAGAGGCAAGGGCAATTTAAGAGTTCTGTGGGCTGGGGATGTGGCTCAAGTGGTAGCGCGCTCACCTGGCATGCGTGTGGCCTGGGTTCAATCCTCAGCACCACATACAAACAAAGATGTTGTGTCCACCGAAAACTAAAAAAAAATAAACATTAAAAAAATTCTCTCTCTCTTAAAAAAAAAAGGAGATACTATCATTAAAAAAAAAAAGAGTTCTGTGATAATTTTCATTTTGTGTTTACATTGACGGATCATCCATCCCTTCTCCCAATCAGTGTGAACAATCTGAATTATCTAGATGACCCCTCCCTCCCGACTTCTATGTATAGGTATGAGGTTTCCGTGGCCCCGTTTGAATCTGTATTTCTGACTGTGGCAGCACCATGAGAGTGTCTAGACTGTTACCCTTGACATTTCCATGTGGTGTGTTTCCCAACTTAGAAAATCTGTGATTGTTTTTTTTTTCCTTAAAAGGATGTATTGTTAGAAGACAATGGCATAAATGAAATAGGAATCTCAAATATGAAGTCCAGGTAAGTGGCCCAGGGCCAAATGATGGCTCCCAGTTGTCAAGGCCTCGGTTCCTTTCATGGTGTCACTCTGTAGTCCTCAATACTTGCCTTGGATCTTGTGATCTAAGATGGCAGTTGCATATCATCCTTCAGGAAGGGAAAAGTGGAAGAGCCCATATTTCCTTTTGGAGACAGAAGTTGTACACAGCATTTTTTTAAAAAATATCTCATAATTTGGTCATATGGCCACACTTGGCTTCAAGTGGGGGAGGTCAAAAAATCTCTAGCAGGAAAATCTTGTGATCTACTAAAGATTCTAATGGAACAGAAACAGGAGGCAAGTAGCTATCTCTAGCGCAAAGGTGTACTCATTTCTCAAACTTGAGAGACACTTTTTTCCTACAGTGCTTTCCAGATGTGAAATTCTGGGATCTGAGTAGAATCCAAGGCCTTCAAGCTGGATGGGAGCACAGGAGTTTAGTTTTTCCAGTCTGTATCACAGGATGAAGAGATGATAGACCCATGATTTTGCAGCTAAAGCAACCGGGTTCCCAGAGAGTTTAGGTGACCTTCCCAGGGTTAGCAATGGGAGAAACTAATCCCATGTCAGTGGTCATGGAAGGTTGGGATTCACTGGGCGCCTGGAAGGGCTCTTACCTCTGCTTTGTATTTCTGTACTCCCACGATGTGCTGGCTACTGCTCTTGAGGCTGCACCTTGCCCTACACTGTTGTTTTGGAGAGTAAAGCAGCTCTTCTCTGGTGATCAGGGTATCCCGAAAAGAGCAAGAGCTGTGGAATCCTGCTTCTGCTTCTTATTTTGGTATGGGCGCGTACAAGGCCTTTCCCCTCTGTTTAAAAAGAGGATAACATCCACCTCACAGCTATCTCCTTTTCCCTCCATCTCTGCTTTCCCCTCCTCTCCATCTTTCCCCTTCCATTTCCGGGCCTACTCTCCTCTTTTCATTCCTTCATGGGATGACATCAATGAAAGACCTGAGATGGGACCTAGAATACAGAAGGGTAAGCCAAGGGTAATTTCCTTCCCTTCTTCCTCTTTCTTCCTTCCCCTCCCTTCTTTTCTTTTCAATCTCATATGATATTGCATATTTTCCCACCAAGCTTAATAATCACAGGACCTAGAAAACTGGATAAATTTAGTGGTTACTCTAGATTCTCTTCTAAAAATTGGGTGCCCAGAAATAGCATGCCCGGATTGGTGAACTTCTGCTTCCTTTTAACATTTTTGCTTGATTTAAATAAGACAAGAACTACAATACTTACTGGGTTTCCCCCTCTGACTACCTCATTGCTGGCCCCTGACCCGGCGATTCCCCCTTCCTCTGCATGACCTCAGAACTCTTTAAAATATTTATTGCCATGGCTGTTTTTCCCCTTGTCTTCTGCCACAGGATTCTATGGGTTCCTTGAGGACAGGGCATGTACATCTGCATAGCAGGCAGCCGAGCCCAGGATCTGGCCAAGAGGAAGTGCTCCTTAATCTCTGCTGAATACGGGCAAGCATCTGTTACCACAGAGAAGCAGGTCAGGGGAGGATGCAATGGAGAGACCATCTAGTCCCACCTTGACACTTTATAGATGAGAAGACTGAAGCCCAGTTGGAGATCTACTTCCTTGGAGCTCCGATCTTTTGCTAGGCTTCTTTGCCTTTGTCACAGTGCCTAAGAATACAGGAAGAAAGGACTGGGGCCAGGGAGGAAGGAAGGAGAGACTAATATTTATTAAGCACCAGCTTTAAGTCAGTGCTATCTCACTTTATCTTGGTAACACCCGAGGGAGGTCCGTGACATCCTCCCATCCTGTGAGAGACGAAAATGAGGCTCAGAAAGGTGAAGTCATTCCTCCAGGTGCACACAGTTCATAGGAAGAGGAACTAGAAACTGAAGCAAGGTCCCTGAAGGCAAGGCCAAGATCTTCATTTTCAACCATGAGTCAGTCACTGAATGGTCAAGTGTGAGAATGTGTAGAAAACTAGAGCAATCTATGGGATTCTTTTTAGCAGCAGTAATCACAGTTATATGGCCTCAAGAAAGTCCCCCGATGTCTCTGAGCCTCAGTTTCCTCATCAGTAATGAAGGATGGACTTTGAGTGTTGAGGTCTCTCCAAGCTTTCCAGTGCTGGGACACAGCCTGACTCTCCCTGAATTCCTGGGCCGTCCTGCGAGCCATTTAAAAATGATAGATGCTTCCAGGAGGAGCGATGTCTCTTTAACTAGAATCGTCAAGGTCAGGCCAAGAAAACTTATTTGGGGGTTTTGATGGGATTTCACTTAATTAATTGGGGTGAAAAGTTCAGCGCTAAGTTGGAGGATTGGCTTTTCAGCTCTAAGTTGGAAGAGACAGGAGCCCTGACATGATTTGAGGTTGTGAGATGACAGCTCAGGTCTTAGGCAGCAGAGCCCAGTCACTCTCAGCTCCCTGGGGGAGGAGGGAGCTGCTGGGCAAGAGTAAATATGCTGTCTTGGTCACCAAGAAACCATGTCAAATTTCTAGGGTTTTCCTATGTTTTACTCTGCCTACTGCCAGGAGGGTTTTCACAGTGGTGTGTGTGTGTGTGTGTGTGTGTTTCTCTCTTTTGCTAAATATGTTTTATTATTCCATATTTAAAAACATGTAAGCAACAAATTTTTTTTTTTTTGGTACCGGGAATTGAACCCAGGGGTACTGAACCACTGAGCCACATTCCCAGTCCTTTTTATGTTTTTAAAATTTTATTTATTTATCTATTTATTTGTTTATTTATTTTTGAGACTGTATCTCACTAAGTTGCTCAAGACCTACACTAAGTTGCTGAGGCTGGCTTTGAACTTGCGATCCTTCTACTTCAGCCTTCTGAGTTGCTGGGATTACAGGCATGTGACATTGAAATTTTTAACCATCTTTCTCTTCAGAGCCTAGCTAACAGTTGTTTTGATCATTTCTGATGTCTGAGTTTTCTTTCTTGTCCTTATTCATTTAACTAAGATTCAGTAGTCGTAGCAAAGGTTACAATTGGGAGAACTTAAGCTACCTGTGGATACCAGACACATTCGAATTATTGAGCATCTGGGAACTTCCAGGCACTACCCTGGACTGCAGGGGTTCAGCAGTGAATAGCAGTGTCTGTTTTCGTGGGAATAACACTGGTGTGGAGCGCAGACAGCAAGCCAGGAAGCAAATCGTTAATATATTTCCAGGTGATCTTATTGCACCTTCAAAACAACCTTAACCCAACAGGTACTATAAGCCCATTTTTACATATGCAGAAATACAGAGGCACAGATGAAGTGATCTGCACAAAATGAGATGAGAAATATGATTTAAACTCAGCCTGCAGACCTTGAGGCTCTTTTTTTTTTTTGCATTACATCTTTACTGAGCCTGTGGTCATGAAAGGTCCAGTTCTGATGCCACCCAATGAAGCCAATAACTCCAAAGCAGGGTGACAGGAGAAGAAAGAGTTTGGCAATAGGTTAGCAGGTGGAAGATGTAGGGCTGTCACCAAATTCCATCTTGCCAGGGGTTTTCAGGTGCAAAAGTATAACCAAGTGTTTCTGAGGATCTAATTTTAGTCACAGCCAGGTGGGCACCAATTCTTGCAGTAATTGAGTCTTTTGACGTAGTTTCGGTGTTGTCTATAGGTCACCAGGAGTCTCAGGAGTTTCTGGTTCCTGTAAACCTGAAGAAAGATCACTGATTAGGAAGGAGGTTGTGTGACTGGTACTGTTCTTTGATGTTTTCCTTATTCTTCTTTTCAGGCAAGGCTGACTTTACTGGTTAATTATTTGGGGAGTGAGGCAAAACAGAAATAGTGAAAAACAGGCTTGCTCATGCCAGGAGCTAGTTAACCCAATCATCGGCTTCAAGCCCAGAGGCAGGCAAATGGTGAAGGTCTGAAGCTTAAACTCTGGGGTTTTTGCTTGAGTGAACTGCTCACTTCTAAATTCACTTCATGCCTAAATTTTAGTCTTTTCCTAATGAAGACCCACCGTATTTTTTGTAAACCTGCAATCTCATAAAACCTGGTTTGGTTCTCACTGGGCTTTGGATTCAGAGATATTCCATTTCTTTTGAAGCCAGTGGAAGAGACAGACATGGAAACAAATAATCTTAACGTACAGACTTCGGAGTTACAATGGAGGGTTTATGGCTTAATTATGTCCCTTACCTTTGGCCCAAATCACAAGCTGAAATTCTAACTCTCAACATGTCTATATTTGGAGGTAATGTTTGGGGGGGACTAATGAAAGTCAAATTTGGTTTTAAGGATGAGCTATAATCCAATAGGGTTGGTGTCCTTAAAGGAAAGGAAGAGGCACTAGAGATGCAGCTCTGGAGAAGAAAGACCAGATGAGGACACAGGAAGAGAGCCCTCTACGGGCCTGGAAGAGAGCCCTCACCAGAAGCCGAATCTGCTGACCCAATGTCATGGACTTTCAGTTTCCAGAAGTGTGAGAAAGATACATTTCTAAATAACTCAGACTATGGTAAATTGTTCAGGCAGCCCCAGTGGAGTAATGCAAGAGGAAAAGTAGTCAAAGACTCACAAGGAAAAGTACTTGGAGTTCTTATATTTCAAAGAAATATCAGAAGAAGGCATCTTATGGCCCTAGATCTGTACTCCCAGTAAATTGAGTGCTCTGCTGTTGGAAGACAGAGGCCTGGGGGAAGATCTAACCATGGGTCTCATTAGTAACATCATGCTTCTTAGGAGGAGGCTGGTTTTGCTCCTTCTTCTTCCTCCTCCTCCTCCTCCTCCTCCTCCTCCTCCTCCTCTTCCATCCTCCCCCTCCCTCCCCCTCCTCCTACTCTTTTGTAAACCTAAAACTTGGCCAAGGAGGTTGAAATGTCTTGAAGAAAGTCATGTTCAAACTTGATATCCACTTGGCTTATAGCGAAGGGCACTTCTGTCCTGATCCAAGTCTTAGTCCTAAGCTGACTCTTGCTGTGTATCTTTGGGTGAATCATTTACTCTCTTTGGGCCTTAGTCCCAATTTCTCAAAGACAAACCACTTGGGTTAAATGATCTTTTTAGTGCTAATATTCTGTGCAATGATATTTAACCAACTTGTATAAAAAAGGTGTGGAAATAAAAATATGGAGAAGATCTCATTTCTAAAGACAATGTCTGATTCAGTCCTAAAACCACAAGTTTTAACTCCAACTCAAGGTTTAGCACTGAGACTCTGTGGACACTCATGCGAGGCGGAGGTGCTGGTCCTGACCCCTATTCCTGGCATGCTTCTTCCTCCCTTCTATCTGCCTGGTGCGATTCTGTTGACTTCCAAATTCAAAACGAATGTCATTTTGTTGATAGCCTGTTCTTCCCTTTGTTCATACCTCCATGGTTATATATACTTAATACATCACAAAGGAATGTTTCTTATCTCTCCATAGTTGACTTGACAAAAGTGGGAGCCATGTCTTATTGGTCTCAATACTTCTAATATCTAGCACAGGTGCTTAGCTAATGGCCAGGACATGAATGAATCCAATAGAAAGTATTGGGATAGATAAAAATTCAGGTCCTAGAGAATATAGATTCAAACAGAAAAGGCCTAGAAAGCCCTATCCCAAGAGGTGTGAATGAGAGGATGATTTTTCTCTCATCTGGTTTGTTCTTGGCTTTATAGGTCATCACCCTCATTAAGGACAGCTCCCTGAAGCTGCAGGCAGGAAATGCTTCACTATCAGGCTCGATGGCCCATATTGAAGACATAATCCTTTGGCCCATGACTCACCAATGGATTCCAGAAGGCACAGTGTGGGTGGCCTTCCTCTATCAATCAATGGTTGGGCTTCTCAGCTTGTGATTGGAGCTCCTTCTTGCCACCCAAGCTTATAGGTCTTTCAGATGCAGCCTGTATGGAGACCTCTGGCCATCAGGCCTGCTTGATTTCTAACCACCCACCAGGAGACGCAGGAAGCATCCATAAAAACTAGCTTTTATGACCACTGACACACCCCCTTGAGCATGGTCATTATGATCATTCAGCATTTATGAGACACCCTTCATGCAGTGGGGGCAAGGGAAAGGCGATTTGGCAGCCTCAACACAAACGGATATTTCTATATTACCCCCGCCCCGCAAGGTACTGTCTCCCTCAAAGATTATTCATTCGTAGTTACTTTTGGGAGCTCGCATAGGCCAGGGCAAAAATCCCTCTATGTGTCCCAAATAATACGAACCCCAGTCATTTCCAAGGGAACTTCACTTAACCAAAACCCAACACAGGTGAACTTTCAACTAACCACGTTTTGAGTTTGGCGCTTGTGTTCATTTGTTTTCTGAGTGATGTTGATGGGCATGTTCATTCTTTGTCACTGGGTAAAATATTTAGACTTCTGACTTTATGTCAGACCCTGTGTCTGGGCTTGATATTACCAGGATAGATAAGGATAAATAAATAAATAAGGATAATAAATAAATAAGGTAACCTGTGTCCTCTGAGAACTCCAATTTGGGAGAAGATAGTTATGGAAACAGAAATATGTTATAGGTGGTATGTGAAAGTCATGTTCATTGAAGGGTAGAGGCCCTAGAGGAAGGAGCGGTCAACTCACTCCACTGGGCAGGGCAGGCTAGGAAGTCTTTGCAGGAGGAAAGTTCCAGAAGGTGTTTGAGGGATGGTGACAATTTGAGGGGGTGTGAGTGTGAATCTTATAGGCAGAGGGAATGGCTGAGTAAAGGTATAGAGCCTGACGTGGCATGGCCTATCCAGGGAATCTGAGCCATGCAGAACAGGCCTGTCCATACCTACGGCACGCAGGTGGCAGGGGCTGCCTGAGGAAGGGCCTGGTCTGTCATTGAGGAAGGGTGGTGGCCATGCCTGCTGCCTTGGGAAGCATGAGTTACTCTCCTTAGGGTGTACCTCCCTGTGGTCTGGGTGACACTTTGTGAAGAGCTCCCACCTCTGGACACTCCACTCTGTCCTTTTCATGGGATTGTCCTCTGTCCACCCTTCCATAACAGTGTTCTTCAGGTCCCCTCCACTTTTCCCATGCTAGACCCCCTCTCTGAGGAATTTTTCCACTGTGGTGATTTCTCAAATGATATCTCATCCAGATGCGCTCTGACCGGACCTTGGACCAGATAGTCACATGGACCCAATGCTTCATGAATGTCACTATCTGATAGGCAGCCATCTGCTCCCGAAGCCTTTGTTGATGCTGTTTCCTATGCTTAGGAAAGACATCCATAGCCAGCCACTTACTGTATCCTCAAAGTTGGAATTATCCTAGACTCCTCACTTTCCTTCTAAGTCACCTCGAGTCCAACAATTATTAATCCATCCATCCATCCATTCATTCAATGTTTATTCAGTTCTTTCTTTCTTTCCCTCCTCCCTCCCTCAACCCACCCCAGCCCAGCCCAGAGACAGTGATACCTGGAGACATTTCTCAGGTCCTCAGCTGCCTTTGCTCACATTTGCATATGGGCAGAATAGACATGGATGAAGCTCCCAAGTGTTTTCCAGTTGAGTGCGAAGCAGATATCAGTGCTATTTGTTGAGAACGGAAAGCGAAGCAGGCTTAGGAGGATGAGCACGGGCCTTCAGTTTCAGACCAGTTTTGACATAGCCTGTTCCAAAGTGCTTTGTAAACCTAAAACGATAAAAGGTTTTTTGTTTGTTTGTTAGTTTCTCTCACAGGGGATGGGGCTGTTGCTCCTAGATCCAACCTTGACCTATCTGGATTAAATCCATGCCCTTGAATCCCAAGGTCCTAGGACAGAAAAGTGGACTATTTAGCAACGTGGACGGTGGGCTGGGAGTCACAGCAAACATTGGACTATTTTACCTTCGCTGACCTTCTGACTGTGGAGGGACTTCTGCTCTCTGGCACCTCCTGTGAAGAAGGCTGGGATGTTTGAGACACTCAACAAATCCCCATCCATACCAGGAAGGGGGAGGGGACTTCTGGAAGGGCCTCTGCCTCATTCCCTCCCCCTCCACGTGCTTCTCATTAAAGGGCTGATGGAGGGGGCGCTGGGGTGGGTTACATCTATCATCACTCTGTCCTCCTCCAACGCAACCTTCCAGAAAGCTTATGGTTTTAAAGGGAAAGGAGCTTTGAAAAAGAAAGTGCAATTCAAGAGGAAAACTGGATTTTAGAGCTCGTATAGATGCTGGTTCTCTTTGTTTGTTATTCCGTGTGAAAGGGTAGGTGTTTTCTGTTGCTGTTGGGCAGAGCAGCATCTCTGGCCTTCCTGCAGCAAGTGAAATGGGGGCTGGTCTGGGGATGAGGCTGGACACTACAGAGTCATCACCTGAACCACCTGGTCTGCTGCTGTGGTTTTAGTTTTTACGGTTGTTAGGTGCGTACATTACTGGCTCTGTGGCAATGCATCTTTTCTCTTGGTAGATTTGGTTCACAGCCAGCAGGGCTGACCACTCTGCAGTTTGGACAGGCACCATCCTGTTTACCGAGGCCACATGGCCACTGGCTTACTCAGCAGATCCTTGAAGCCCACGTCTTGTAGGACGCCTTCTAACCTGGTCATATTTTTTTCCTGTGTATTTCAACAATAGGCTGCTTTCTACCCTCTGATAAGGAGTCTATCATTCATAACTGAAATCAGGGATGGGTTGGTGGAGGTTCCGGAATGTTCTGGAACACTTCCTTTTGGGTCACATAACCATTGAGACATAATTTCTGACTAATCAACTCTTGTGATATAGCATGGGCAAGGTAACAGGACATAAATAGCAAAGGAAACCAAGATTAATGTGGAAACGTCTTGAGATATCAGCCTAGGAAATTGTGAAGGAGCCAGAGAGGCTCCTTGGGGAATGAGCGGGAGGTCAGGAAAGATAAGCTCATGGTGGAGTGAAAGGGGCTCTGGTGTTGATTGCCTGACATGAGCCCAGCCTGTGTCACTTACTAGCTGTGGGATTAGCAGTGGTAGGCAGGTCAACCTACCACTGTGAATCTCAGTTTCCCCAGTTCAAAGGTGGGATAATGTGACCCATGTCCTTGTGAACCTGAGAGAGAATGTGTGAGGGTTTAATGCAGAACCTGGCATTTGAGAGCTCAATGCACGATAGCATAACAATAACAATAACAGCTCACAGAGGTTGCGTGCTTAGTGAGGCATTATTTTAAGTGATTTAATTCATGAAGTCAGTATGATCCGAAAACTTACTTTGCAGTTGAGGAAACAGGTTTAGAAGGTTTTGGCAAATGCCCAAGTTACATACCTCCTAAGTAGTAGATCTAAGATTCAGACTTAGGTAATAATCTTATAGTTTCAATTCATACTATGTAATTGGAGGCATAATTATAATTATCATTGATTTTCTTCAGCTGTACAGTAATAAAAATTGGGAGCTTTTTCAACCAAGAAAAAATAGAAAGGTAGGAAAAAAAATTTCCCAGGTGCTATGTGATAAAATACTTAAACACCGAGTTTACTTAATTAACCTTCATGTTTGGCCTGGAAAAGATGTATTTGCATTTCAGAAATAAGGAAATCAAGATGCAAAAATATTGCACAGCTTGTTGGGTGCAAAGTTCAACCTCTCTCCATCATCCTGTTGCCTCCAGGAAACCCACTCAATGTCACCATGTAGGGGCCACATGACATGCCAGAGCCCTGTCCACAGGGATGACTAAAACCCTGGGGGTGCTTATACCGACTTGTGTCAGAGCTGCCAGGGAAGGAGGACCGTGAATAAGTTCAAAAGACACTGGGTCCAAAAGGAGTCACCGATCAGACTCCCACAGGAAGTGAAGCGGGCAATAGGAAAAGTACTGCTGGGGTCTGTGGTCCATGAAGTGCAGAGGAAACATCAGAGAACAAGGAAAATGGATAGGAGAGCCTATATTTAAAACTGGCTCAAGGTAAGGAAGGAAGTGATGGACTTAATTTTAGAAAGCCTCAGACTCTGAGGCTCCTGAGGTATGAGACATGGAAACTTGGGTGAGGATTATGTGTCATTTATATAGCATCCATCCACCGGCTTCCAGTGGAGAAGTGGGGGCCGATTCACTTGAAGGCATCCCCAGCAGGACTGAGAAAGGATGAGCTTTGAAGTCAGATAGATCTAGGGTTGAGCGGAATCGGATCAAGTGACTTATTTCAGCACTGTGAGCCTTGATTCCCTTCTCTATAAAATGGGGCAATCATATCTGCCTGACAGAGTTCTTATTGAGAATTAAATGAGAGAAGATTGCAAGGACCCAGGAAACTGCAAGGCCCAGGTTGACGCTAGGACATGCTCATTGAGTGAAACTTCATGGGGAAATGAAATGCTTACAAAAATTTTTGTTTACGAAGCAAGTTTTCTGTGAACTGTGATGAAAATATTGTCTGTTCACTCTGATGTCTTCAGATCAGGAAAGAGGTTCTCCGGTCACCTGCGATTACTGAATCGGTGCTGATCACACTCTGAAGACAGGTAGAAAGTTTGACAACTGTGTGATTCTGTTTGTCTACTTGAGCCCTGTCGTAGAATATCATTGCTAATTCCATAATGCTCTCCGAAGTTTACACTTTAACACTGATCTCTCTTTTTTCTTCCAAACTAAAATAGCTCTACTTTTTTCTGATTCTCAAAATTGTAAGTTAGTTGAAAATGATTTTATTAATTCACTGTGATATGAATTTCTGAGACATAACCATTTTTTACATGTACATGGTTCGAGATTTTGTTCTTCATTCATATAAGTACCTGTTGCATTCTTTAGGTAGAATAAAAAATACATTATGAGTTATTTCGAGGCAGAAGGAATCACATAAGAAATATCTTAGTAATTATCCAGTGTAAGAGAGGACATCCCACTGAAATGCCCTGTGTGTCTCATTCCAATTGAGTCACCCAACCCTCCTCACCCAGCAGGCTGGTGTTTCTGTTGCTCTTTCAACAACCCTTATGGCAATTGAGATTCTTTCACTAGCAAGCGATCAACAACCCCAGACCTTCCCTCACTGAAGAATGCATTTGTTCATACAATTTCAGTGTCCTGGAATAAACTGGTTGGCGATGGGAGGACTCATATATATCATCAGGAGTCTATCTCCCTCCTTCAGGTACCTTTCCCCCCACCCTGGATTTGTTCTCAGTTTCTACAGAGTGGCAAGATGGTGGCCAACAGCCTGTATCCCCTGGTGTTATGGTTTAGATGTGAGGTATCCCCTCGTGTGATGGTTTAGATGTGAGGTATCCCCCAAAATCTCATGTATGAGATGAGATGACAATGCAGGAAAGCTTAGAGGAGAAATGGTTGGGTCACGAGAGCATTAATCCAATCAGTGGCTCAATCCCGTGATGGGATTAACTGAGAGGGGCCTGAGGGCAGGTAGTGGCTGGAGGAGGTGGGTCACTGGGGGCGTGCCTTTGGGGTATATATTTTGTATCTGGCAAGTAGAATCTCTCTCTGCTCTCTGATCATCACGTGAGCTGCTTCCCTTGGTCATAGTCTTCCGCCATGATGTTCTGCCCACACTTGAGCCTGAAGGAATGGAGCCAGCTGTCCATGGTCTGAGACCTCTGAAGCCGTGAGCCCCTGAAATAATCTTTTCCTCCTCTAAAATTATTCTTGTTAGTTTTTTTTTTTTTTAGTCATACCAGTGAAAAAGCACACTAAAACACTTGAATTCACATTCAGCAGGAAAAAACAGCACATCTTTCTGGTAGCTCCAACCCAAGGCCTGGATTTGCTTTGATTAGACGAACCACAGTGTCATGCCAATCCTGAACACATTTAACTTCTGCTGTGGTTTTGACATCTGGAGTCTGTCAAACCTTTCTGATGCTCATTTGTTTCTTCCTGCATTAGATAACAAACCCCAGGAGTTGACTACCTTTTCTGTAATGTTTTCCCTGGGGGCAGGTGGCCCACAGATAATGTCCTTTAACATTTACCAAGTGCTCTGGGGTGCCAGGTAGGTACCTTGCCTCAGTCAGTCTTAGCAACATGGGTGCGAGGTAGGTATGGGGCCCATTTTAGACATGAGGAAAACAGAGGCTTAGAGGAGAGAAATACCTGTTGAGTTTCTACAACTTGTGTCTGTGGAGGGGGTGCAGCAGGGATCTAGCCCCCAGTTTACCTCATGAAAAGGAAAAAAAGCACCATCTTCTAGTCTAGTGGTAACACAGCCAGTCACACGGTCTCTCTTGCAAAACCCACGTGTTTACCTCACAGGGCTGTTGTCAATGTGACACAAAAACAATGTCAACTGAATCATTCACAGACAGCAGTTCATTGAACTCATTGATATGTCCTAATGTACCTCCTTCAAGGCCCAGGGGAGAGGAAGAGGACAGACTTGGTAGTTGGCCCAGTCATTCTGAGGCAAGCAGATTAAGTAAGAAGTGATAAGTTATACAAATACATCGTTTAAAGACATCTACAATTATTCAGTATTTTGGGGGTTTTTTTGTTTTTGATACTTGGGATTGAACTCAGGGGTGCTTTATCATGACATCCACAGGCCTTCTTATTTTTTATTTTGAGACAGGGTTTTACTAAGTTGCTAGAGCTGGTTTTAAGCTCGTGAGCCTCCTGCCTCGGCCTCCTGAGCCGCTGGGATTACAGGTGTGTGCCACTGCACCTGGCCATTTTCAGGATTTAAAGAATATAAAACACTTTGAAAAGGTATT